CACCTCCGGCGGCTCCACGATGTCGGGCGGGTCCTCGCCCGTGTCCGAGTCCTTCTCGCTGTCGTCCTTGGTGTAGGATTCCTTCCGCTGCTCCTCCCGCCATTTGAGCGCCCTGCGTGACTTCTCCTGCTCCCAGCTGCCTCGGCCCCATCCCCACGGGGAGACGTGGATCGGGCCATGGGGAACAGGGCACAGTGAGCAGCTACAGCCGGAGCCCCCTGTCCCGGGCCCAGGGGTGGGACAGGAGGGTCGGGGCGGTGTGTGTATGTGTGTTGCGGGGGGGGGGTTCCGGGGGGGGGGGGGGTGATGTGTGTGCTTACCCGGCGATGGTGAGCAGGTGGCGGGAGGTGTCGATCTGCACCTCCATGGCGTGGTTCTCCAGCTCCAGCAGGCGGCGCCGCACGTCCATCTGCTCCTGGAAAGCGCTGATGAGCTGCTCCCGCAGCTGCCCCATGTTGGCCTGCTCCTCCTGCCCGCGGTGCTGCTGGACCTCAGCTGCCCATGGATGGGTGTGGGGAGCTCAGTGAGGAGAGAGGCTTCTGGCCAGGCAAGTCGAGCCCCGCTAGGGGCCCTCCCCGCCCTTTCTTCCCAAACCACTTTCTGTCCAGCCACCGCCTCTAGAACGACCTCCTGGATTGCTACCTCCTCCGGCACTGCCCTGAGTCTTCAGGCTGTGGCTCAGAGGTGACCCCCAGCCCCTCTGTATGAACCAGGCTCCCACTAGCTCTTACAGCACCTTTGTGTCAGCTATTGAAAGGTGCCTTTTAGCCCAGCCGGCGTGGCTCAGTGGCTGAGCATCGACCTATGAACCAGGAGGTCAGGATTTGATTCCTTGTCAGGGCACATGCCTAGGTTGTAGGCTCAATCCCCAGTAGGGGGAATGCAGGAGGCAGCTGATTAATAATTCTCTCTCATCATTGATGTTTCTATCTTTCTCCCTCTCCCTTCTTCTCTGAAATCAATTTTTAAAAAGTGCCCCTTAGACACGTTACTGCCACCAGGTGGCAAACCATCGTGGCAAACTTAAGTCTACAAGAGAATGTAGGCGGTGCCCCTTCTGGTGATGCCGGGCTCGGCCTTGCACCCCTACACTGTGGCGTGGAGGGTGAGGTCCTACGCAGCTAAATGCTCCTGTGTCCCTCACTCGTGTGATCCCCCCAATCTTCAGCGATCACGATTCCACTTTACAGCGAAGGCTCAGAGCGGTGGAGTGACTAGCACGGCTACCCAGCCAGAGTCTGACCCCAGGGCCATCTGAGACAGCCTGCAAGGGCTGAGGGAGACGGGTTCCCACTAACACAGACAGCCCCCCTCCCGCCGACACACACACACACCTTGGATGTGGCGAATGTCGCCCCGCTCCAGCCGTCCCCGGGCCTGGCCTCGCCCTCCCTGCTCATCAATCTTGCACTTGAGCCGCTGGATCTCGCCCCGCAGGTCGGCGATGATGCTGGTGTACTGGGCGATGTGGTAGGAAACGCTGAGCAGATTCTGCTTCACCTGCGAGGAGCGCGGGGCAGGGCAGAGCAGGTACAGTCACCCCAGGGGCCGGGCCGGCCTGCGGTCCTCCTTTCTCTCTCTCCCCCACCCCCAGGGCTTCTGGGTGACAGCAGTGGCCTTGCCTCCCACCCCACAGCCTCTCTCACCACATGCCGCTGACAGAGCCGGCTCCTAAAACGCTGCTCCCCCTGCTG